AGAACAGAATAGTTCCTTATTAAACAGTTAACTACACGTATTGCCCAGGACAATCCCACAACATGTCAACACTGTCCTTTCTTAATCTTGGGTTCCCTATCACCAGCTTTCCTGTCCCCTCCTGCCTTGTAGTCCTTGTCCCTGGACTGCTGTGCCTCATTAGTCCTGCTTTGTTTTATGGGGCTGTCCAGTCCCCAGCTGAACAGTGAACCTTGGGAGTGACTTCACCACTGAGCTAAAAGGGTGTCTGGGGGCCATACTCTTGGGGTTTCTCCAGTCTCTGTCAGGCCAGTAAATCTGGTCTTCTTTTGTGTGTAAGAATTTTGTTCTACATCCTTCTCCAGCTCTGTCCAGAATGCTCTGTTGTGATTCCAGTCAGAGCAGTCAGTGGTGGTAGTCGGGCACCATCTGGTTGTACTGGATTCAGTCTGGTGGAGGCCTTGGTAGCCGTGGTCCGTTAGTCCTTTGGACTAATCTTTTCCTTGTATCCTGTTCTCTTCATTCTCCCTTGCTCCCGAAGGGGCGAGACCAGTGGAGTATCTTAGATGGTTGCTCTTAAGACCCCAGACACTACTCACCAAGGTAGAATGCAGAACATTGGCTTTATAAACTATGTTATGGCAATTGAGCTAGATGGTCCCCAAGAGCATGGTCCCCACAGCCCTCCACCCAGCAGTTCAGTCCCTCAGGGAGTTTGGATGTGTCTGTGGAGCTTCCATGACCTTTCCTTGTATAAACTGTACTGGCTTCCCCAGTATTGTGTACTGTCTTACCCTTCATGATTTTAATTTTTGTAAAATATTTTTATTCGTTTGACTTACGCCTCTTAAGAATATTAGAACTTTAAAGTGAACACCATATATTTAAATTTTCTTACACAATCTAATTGTATTTCTATTTCTAGAATTGAAGTAATGATGTATTATTTGTTAGTTTTTTTAGTTATTACTAATAGAACTCAATTGTTTATTATTAAGCATAGGACTTAATTTCTTGATTTATGATTGTTCTCCCCGGTGCTTAAATTGCTCTATCTTAGTATATGAGTTGCTCAGTAGGAAAATACTTTAACACTGGTATGTGAGAAAAGACTGAAAACAATGAATTTGGTACAGACAATAATCTGTTTTATTCTGTATCCCTGAATAAGTGAGTATGCATGATAATACCATATTCTCTTCTCAGAGGGATACTGATTGATTCTGATTTATTTCACTTTAGTAATGGTATAATTTTTAGCATCTGGAATTTTTTCTGATTATACAAAATAAGTCATTTGTTGTTTGAATTTGCAGAAGCAGTGAATAACATTAGAATTTAAATGGCATATGCTAATATTGTCCCTGTTAGAGGTTTTGAGGTGAGATTTGAAAATTCTTAATATAAAATCATTCGTGCTTTTAGGTAAACTTGTATCTTCCAAGTGACTTGTTTTAGCTGATTCAGGAATAGTTTATGAAAAATGGAAAATCTTTGTGAAGATCATATGCTGTGGGCTTTGGTCAAGAACAGTTAAATCTTAACCTTCCGTGTAATGAATGAAAGAATGGAAGTCCAGAATAAATTGCTGTAGGGCTGTTTTTTTGTTGTTACAATAGAATTGGAGTGCATGGGATTGTAATGGATTTTAGAAATACTGTGTTGGTGATATTTTGTCACATGCAGCATTTATATATAATCATCTCTGGCCAGTGCAAACTTTTAGAAGAAAGAAAATCAGAAAATGCTAAGTGAGCCAAATAAATTGCTTTATATACAGACCTTGTCTTTACCACAGTTGTTCTCCAATGTTGTGTTCCTGAATAGTCTATGATATCTGAAATCTTAAAATGCCAGGACACTACAGCTAAAACACTACAGCTTCATTTTTAGGTGAAAATTTTGACAGAATTATGGAAGTCTTTCTACAACTTGTAGATGATTATATTTTATAACATCTACTCCAAAGTTATGTATTACATTGTGGATTTTAGAATCTCTACTTGCTTCCCTGGAACTTTTAAAATTGAAATGTAATCTACAAAATGGTGTGATTTTTGATCCTAATAATATTAGTAGTAATAATAATGGCAGCTAAGAGTATTGAGCACTTACTATATGTGAGGCATTTTTCTGTGGGCTTCACATGTATTAGTTCATTTAATCCTCATAACAATCCTGTGACGTAGGTACTGTATTATGAAATTGAGGCACAGAAGGATTAATTTAATGTCGCACTACTAACTGATAGAGCCAGGGTTTGGACTAAGGCAATTTGGCTCAAGTCCATGCTCTTACCCACTGTATTGTACTTTGTATTTGTGGTATCATCTTAAAAAGAGATTGTTTTGAAGAATCTGTTTGAGGTGGTTATAACTTAAGAGTATCCTAAATGTTTTTAAAAGTAGAATTAAGCCTAAAACCTTGTTTTTTTCTTAAACACATGGAACTAGTTGCATTTTAAAGTATCAACAATTGGGGTTCTCCTATGTATTGTCTATGATTTCCTTCACTGACTAGGGTTTTCTGTATTTGGTGAATTGATATTTTTAATGTTTCCATGTTGACTGGGGACGTTGTTTTAGAAGTAGTTACTTGCATCCTCCAAAAAAATGAAACTTGCTGGTACATACATTTGGAAATCATTATTCTCTGTGCTAAATCAGTAATAATGTTTCCTTTTTACAAAAATACATTGTTACATACGCATAATACTATTTAGTCTTTGGTTTGCTGGAGTTGCAGTGCTCTATAGTATCCAGCTGAGGGCAGCTGTTTACTGATAGAAAAATGAGTTAACTTCAGAAGTAACTACTTTTTGCTTACCAAAACTTGGTATCTAGTATAAAATACGACAGTTGACATACAAGCAGCCTTATTTGCACTCCTATTTTGTTGCTATTATGGTTGTGAATAATTTATTGAAAATGAAAAATCTAGTTTTACTTCATAGTATTTTTTGTCCTCTTATAAATTGGAGAATGAAAACAGTGGTGATTCTAGTTTTTCTTTTCCCATTCCCATTGAAATTTGTCTCCCCATTGAAAAGTTATGTTCAGTTTCAGAACTTCTTTTTCCCTTAAGGTTCTATTTTAAAATAACAATATAGAATCAGACTCTAAAGAGATCAGAGATCCTTTGTATCTTCCTTATTATCAGAGTCTCTATATGTAAACGTACGTGACTATAAAGTTCTTTGAGGGCTTTTTGTTATAAAGGTAAAAAATCAAAATTTTCAGTATGCTGTTTGATTCATTTTTCTATGCAGAATTAATATATTAAATTTGTAGAATATAGTATACTCTTCTAATTTCCATTTTGAGTATAACAGTTTAAATTATATCTTCTATGTGGTTCAGAGAAAGAGTTTTGGAGGGTTAATTATCAACGACATCTGAAACAGAATTTTTTGAGAATAAAGAATGTCCGTCTATGTAAAACTGCACTGTAATACTAACAAAGTGGGTACTGTTGGTAACAGAGAGAGCATCCCATGGGAGCTACTTCAACACAAAGGGATTATCTATAAGAGAAACAGACACAATATGATTGAAAGCTATGTTATTTGAAAAAAATGTGTTTTTATTTTTAAAGCAGCAGTCTTATGTTAGAAAATAAAGTGGATATTAGAAGAGATAGAGACCAAACTGAGGCTTGTTGTTGTTGTTAGGTGCCGTTGAGTCAATTCCAACTTATAGTGACCCAGTGTGACAGAGTAGCGGCTGGTAGATTTGAACTGCCGACCTTTTGGTTAACAGCCAAGCTCTTAACCATTGCGCCACCAGGGTTCCCACCAGGGATTCTTAAAATGAAGTTAGTGACACTCATTCTGTGAGGTGGTAGATAGTCTAGTGGGGCTGTAGACACGGTTATCTTAGTATCACCTTTTTTTCTAACTTACAACATTTGTAGTTTCCCAGTGCTTTTATAATACCTCTTTTCTCTCCTATCATTTTAGGGCTAGATCTCTGTTGGGGTTTTTGGTGATGGTGGTTCTATTCTGTTGTTTATATTTGTGTAACTAAAAATGTCACCTCTGCCAATGATTTTGAATTCTTAACTACACTTTAAATGGTGGTGTAAAAGAATGGTCCTTTTTAAGAGAGTAGCGTCAGGGGAAGACTGGGATTATTTCTTGTGTATGGATTGCCTTCCCAGTAGCTGACTTGTATTTAGTGAGACAGCATCATTCCAAAGTCAAAAAACAAATCACCCATTTCTGACATTCTCCTTTCTAAGTCTCTCATATCACATTCTAACTTCCCACTGTAAAGAACCATAGAAACTGTTGGAAGAAGAGATAAGGCAGATGACTTGGCTTTTGGTAGAAAAAAATAGAATGGAAAGAGAACAAACCAGTTCACTAAACATTGTGAGTGGATGATTCTACTAACATTCTTACGCTGAGCTTTTTCTCTTATCTTCATAATAGTCCAGTTCATGGACTTGAATATGGAATGTAGTCTAAACTAATTAACACTGACATAAGTGGTTAATTTAGGAAAGTCATTTGAGACAATGCTGAAAAAATTAGTTTGAGGAGGTTTTCATCTGCAAACTTTATTTAGGTATTGAGGAACTGTCAGAGGTTCTTGAGGAGTGGATCATGCCCCACATTTCCTCTCTGTTATTTTAGGAAGAGTTGTCTGGGTAAAAATTCAGCACTAAGGATTTGCAATGGACTGGCACGTTTTTATCCATTTTACTGTTATTACTTTCCATCACAGTTTACGTTTATAAATAAATACTTGTATATTTCTTATGTCTTTAATCAATCGTGACTGTTATCCTTTCAAACATAATGTGTTTTTCAGAATCATTGAGACTGAAAAACAATTGAAAACTCTAGTAGGAATAATAATCTGAAGTGCAGTTAATAGCTAGAGTAGATTTAATGTCTTAGTGCTTATGAGATAAAGAATGGGAACGGAAAGAGTACAATTAAAACAAACACTTGAAAATAGTGCTTCTTCTGAATATTTCTAAGCTAGAACAAACGTTATGTGTATGTATATGCACGTATATGTACATGTATTATATATGTATTTTTAAGCATGCACAAACAGCCAAGCAAATACTGTCTTTAAGTTTGAAACACAATTCAAAGTATTCCTATAATATTAATATTGATATTTGGGTAAGGAAGACTTAATATGTTATTTAAGAGATTTTTTTTTTTTTACAGAAAAATTGACTTTCACTTTCTAGAGAACACCTTGTTTAGTAGTTAGAGGAGTGTCAGAAGGGGCCCTGAAGCATGGCCCTGCTTTGGGTGTATCCGCATTACTGACTTTGTATGGGAGGTTCACCAGCTGTTTGACTGGCAGGAGCAGACTGCTTTCACTTCAGTAGTTTATAATTCCTGGCTATTCTAGGATAGTTTGCACTTCACCAAGCCTCAGACAGGTCAGGACATTTGGTAGGAGAAGGTTGAAAGACAAAAGCAGCAGGCCTTGGGTTCTCAGCCTTTTTTAAAATTTTAATAAAAAAATTTTTTTTTAAATTTGACGGTTAGAGATTTTAGTAATGTGCCTGTATTACATGTAGAGAGTATTCATCAACCAAGAGAAGTTTTAAAATGTCAAAGCCAGGAAAAGCTACTTTAAACCATGGCTTGGTTCCTGTTGATCTTAAAAGTGCAAAAGAACCTCTACCACATCAAACTGTGATGAAGATATTTAGCATTAGCATCATTGCCCAAGGCCTCCCTTTTTGTAGAAGACGGGTAAGTCTCGCACATTTGAAAATATGAATGTTTATTTAAATGAAGTACTCCTGCCTCCTCTAGTGAAGAAATGCTTCAAATTTCAATTGATATTTATAACTAAACTATAAGTGCGTTATGTAGCTAGTGATAGTTTTATAACATGATATAGATCCTGGAGTACAGGGCTACCCAGTGTACTTTTTTGTCTTTCTCACTTATTTTTCATGAAATTAGGATCCTGTAAACTTATTTAAAATTGATCAGATAGGTATGTTTTGAAATATGCTGACAAATAGTAAAATCCAAAATTTGTACAGTTTTTATTTTGTATGAAAAACATGAAAGCTGGTGGTATTCTCCTTATACATGGAAATTGCAGCATTTAACTCTGTTAAAGAGTTTTCTGAGATCTTTAGGTTTCTCTGGCCCTTTAAGTTTTATTTCTTAAATTCAAACTAAACATAATAGGGACATTATTATTTGCTGCTATATAAAGTAAAACTAGCATGCTATTGTGTGGCAGTAATGATATGGTTTATATATGGACAATTCTGAACTAACTTTTTTGTAGAACTGGATTTGTGCTGATGTATAATCAAGTTATGGTCTACTGGATGTTTTTCAAGATGAAGTTCTCTTTACCAAGTTTTGACTGTGTCACTATTAGCAATTTTGTTGTTGGATTTTCAGAGTTAGTTGGCATTGCCATTTTGAATTTTTGACTAGAGTGATATATTTTTAGGTATCAAATACGTATATGATTCTGAACACATTAATCTACCCCTCCCCCAAAAGCCTGTCCATTTGAAGATTAAATGAGTATTTGTATATATTAGAGTGTTCGTTCCCTTTTTGTACTATTAAAAAACCAAAGGGGAAACACTCAACTAAATAAGTAGAATAATCCATAATACCTGAAAAAATATTTTTTATCTTTAGTAAAGGGAATTTTCAATTTGCTGGTACTTAAATAAGCTTTGTAAAAATACATTTTCTAATTAGTTCCTTTTGAGTAGTTCCCACTTCTACTCCAAACAAGTGATAACCATGTTGGAAAACATTTAAGTAAGGTTAAAATGTAATACAATTTAAACATTGAAAATAGAATACAAATATCTCCATCTTCTTCTGTTTCTTTTCTTCTTAGCTATGTTTTCATTAAGAGTTTCTTTTATTTTTGTCTTCTTTCACCTTGTCAGTTTTATAACTTCTGCTGAATGAGGTCACTGATCAGATTTAAGCATTTACACAGAGGCCACTTACAGCTTTTTAAAGTCATTAATAAACTCATTTATTATTTTAATATTTCTTTAAAAGAAAAATACCATACAAATATATTTAAAAATTGAGGAAAACAAGTGTGAGATTTTTTTTGTAAATTAAAGGTTAAGGTATTAAAGGCCAAGATAATTTTGTTCTTTGTTGTTGAATATTTCCAGTAAATTTCAAGTATAATTTATGGTGCATTACTTTATTATGTCATAGTATATGTTATCTACTTTTTGTCTTCTAACATGGACATTAAATTTAAAAGACATGGGAGATAATTAAAAATTAATAGAGAACTTCAAGACTTCCCCTGAGGGCTTCCTAGGGTCACTATTCAAGTTTACTTTTCTCGGTTACTGTGTTATATTAAACTACAGCCTTGCATTTGTAATATAAAATAGAACTAAATTTGAAAAATAAAACTTACGCTAGAAATTTTTTTGAGAGATAGTTAAGAACAAAATGCACACAGCAGTTTTAGACTGCCTGCCTGCCTGTGGATAGTTTACTGTTGCATAACTCATTGACTCTGACTACTAGAAATAGTAGGGGGAGAACACGGTTATAGCCTCCTCCGCTCCTTTTCACAACTGGTTAATTTAGGTAGCTTTTAATTGATTTACATACTCTTTGTTATTTAATTTACTACTTTCCCTTGGCAAAGTTAATGGTAAACATTTTTAAATTTATTTTTCTTCATCAGATTTAGAAAAGACTTTCGATGTGGTATGAAGTTAATCACATTTGGGGCCTAGCATCTTGCATATCTTTTACATAAGGTATATTTAGCTTCTTTTAAGCAGTCAAAGTACACCAAACAGATTGCCATTTGTATTTTGCAAGTCATTTTTTTTCTTCCAAGTAAAACTTAAAAAACATGATGGTGTCCCACCATCCTATGTAGATACTGAATCAGTTAATGTTTGCAAAATAAAATAACAGTTTGAAAATTGTGAAAAATCCTTTAAAATAGTAATCATAGCTACAGCTTCAACTTATATATCTTGAAATGTTTTTAGGAAATTTGTTTATCTCAATATTAAATATATTAGTACTGGTAGTATAATTTATTATTGTGTAGATTATTTTAGTCTCTTGTCTAAGATACTATGTATACATTGGATTTAATACTAACAGTATTTAGCAGCAGCAACTTGCTGAATTAATAGCAGAACCATTAAATGAAAAGGTTTTCTATTATCAAGGTCTTCATAATTTATTTACAAATATTTGATCAGACGTTTTGGATCATAAATACCACCTGGAACACTTGTTAAAAACACAGAATTCTGGATTCCACACTTTTGGAGAGTCTTATGTGAGAGATTTGGGTTAAGGTCCAGGGGTCTTTTTTTTTTTTTATAAGTGTCAGGAAAATTTGGAAATAGTAGTTTAGTACATAAGTTTTTATTGTAAAATAACTGTCCTTTAGGGGGAAAAGTTATCTAACTTATACAGTTACTGGAAAATTATTTTTCTTTGAAATTGAAATGTCTAATTATGGTAATACTATATTTCTTAAGTCCTAAAATGCATTATTTTTTGCATATTTTAAACATGAAAAATAATGATAACCTCTTAATGGAGTTTCATGGCTTATCTGGCAGCATTTTTTTTTTCTTTTTAGTGATAAGAAAAATAATGATACATCTTACAATTAATATAGTATGTTGAAAGAAAAGGCACTTTCAATGCTTAACTTATTTTTTTAACTTTTTTAAAGCATTTTTAAGTATTTAGAATATTCTCCTAAAGTTATTTTTAAACATTACTATTTGAGTAAAAATTTTCAAGTGACATGCAATTGTTGGTTTATGTAGGACTTTTTAAGATACCGGGTCCGCTGTCTTGGCTTATAGATAAATACTGTTTTTTAGAATGCCTCGTATATTCTTAGGGATGAGTCATATACTGATTGTGCAGCATAGACATTAACAGCATAGCAGGCTAAGAAAATGGGGTAGAACTTTGGAATTTGGCGGAGGGCGGGGTAGGTAGGACAAGGACTTGTGGTGCATCAAACCCAGTAGCTCAGGCAGTAATGAAATATATGACTGGGATTTCTGAAAAACTAGTTTGTAGTGATTATATTCTATATCAAGTTCTAATGAAGGTAGAAATAAAAGTAGGATATTTTTGTGTCATTTCAGAAAATGTTAACATTATACCTTTGTGCTGTTATCACTGAGGAATAGTTTAAATTAAGAGTTGGCAATTTTTTTCTGTAAAAGGCCAGTAAATATTTTAGGCTCTATAGCCCATATAGTCTCTGTTGCAGCTACTCAACTCTGCCATTGTAGTGTAAAGTAGCCATAAACAATACATAAATGGATGGGTTAGAAGCAAAGATGGCAAGACTACATCTCACATACTTTGGACATGTTATCAGGAAGGATCAGTCCCTGGAGAAGGACATCATGCTTGGTAAAGCAGACGGTCAGTGAAAAAAAGGAAGACCCTCAACGAGGTAGGTTGACACAGTGGCTGCAACAATGGGCTCAAGCATAACAGCAATTATGAAGATAGCGTAGGACCAGACAGTGTTTCGTTCTGTTGTACATAGGATCGCTATAAGTCGGAATCGTGTCAATGGCACCTAACAACAACAAATGAATGGGTGTGGCTGTGTTTCAATAAAACTTTATGTACAAAACAGTAAACAATAAGTTTTTACTATTATAATACTATAGTAAATCTGTGTGTGTGTGTGTGTATACAAGCAAAAAATTGTGAACACAGTGTTTTTACTGGTATATACATTAAGTTTCAGCTTATGGTATGTTTTTATAATAGGATTACTGGAGCCATAAACCATTTGTTTCCTTTAAATTCCTCATACTCTCTTCTAATTCTTATGTGGTTATTTGGAGAAAATTTTATCTTTATGTTTAATCACTAGAATTTTAACATACTGCTTTTTATTATTTTCTTTCTAAAGTAAAGTACCTAACCTGTATTCTAGGTACTGTCTCACCTATTTTATATACTTTAACTCATTTAACTAAACATGAGAGAGAGTTTAATTAAATGAGTTAAAGTATATAAAATACTTTATATAAAATAAAATAGGTGGACAGTGAGTTAGGTATTATCTCCATTCAGTAGATAAGAAAACCGAGGCACAAACAAGCTAACTCTCCAATTTTCCTAGTAAAGCTGCTATTTAACTCAGAACTGTCTAATGCTGTATGTAGGTAGTAGCCATTCTCTTTCTGCTATACTGTGTGACCTATAAAAATTTTCTTCTTGTGAAGTAAGCTTTTCAACTACTATTATATTAGTATTTTGGAGTGGAAGCCTGGAGCCTATCATTGTTAATATTGTTTCTATGAGAAAATAATAAAGTTTTAAACAGTTGGCCTACAAATAATTTTTTTGTAGCACAGTCCATTTATAAATTTAGGATTTCTTATCTAATCTCTCTTAAGATGTTTCACTTACAGAGTTATCCCACAGAATACGTAATGATTTTAGTCATTAAAAACTGACAGTGTTTAGGCTGCATACGTTTGTCCTTTGTCTTTTTGTAAGCCTCAGTGCCTGTGTTTGACTCTTGAACAGCTGAGAACAAAGTCTGACAAATTAACCAGCATCAGACTGCAGTGCAGTAGCATACTTATCAATCTGTTCAATTAGTTCTTTTGATAAAGATAACCAAAAATTAAAAAAAAGTTACAGAAAAATTTTGAAGGCATCCCTCCTCACCCCCTCATACAAACTTCCTTCCCTCTCAGAGTTTTTTCTTCATT